CTCACGGACTTTCCTGCCCGGGCTGGCTTTGAACCGTGATCCTCAGATCTCACCCTCCTGAGTAGCTAGGATTACAGGCATGAGCCACGGGCGCCCGGCCTAGTTGGAATATAATAGGCCTAGTTATGACATTCATAGTCACTTCTAGGTAGAGTTGCAGGGTTATTAGCAAGGCCTAAAGTAGAGCTAGCTGGCTTCCAAAGTACTGCTGATACACACCCCAAGCCCCCTAGGCCCCCACCTGGGGAGAGGGGGAAAGCAAGGACTGCTCTGCAGGAGGCAGAAGCTGGGTCTGTGCGAAGTCCTTCCTGTCCTCAGCCGCGGATGGCACAGATTCCAAGGGGACAGCCTCCACTGCTGCTTTGCCTGCAGAACTCCATGCCTGCTGGGGACAGTTGCCAGCGCAGCCTGAGGGATTATGAATGCATCATACACTGTTTGGGGTTTTGGTTAGTGATCCTATGCAAAAGAATTTACCAGGCTACCACAGTAGCAGAGCACAAAGCTGCAGGAGCACTGCAGGTGGTTGTCACATGCAAAGTGGCTTTTCTCCCCCAAAACGCTGACTCCTTATGTGGGCCCACCACTGAACTAGGAGCAGCATAAAGCTAGGCATCCCAGCTTCCTCCGTCTTGGATCTAAGTCCTTGCCTGCAGACATGCAGCAGCTGTCCAGGAGGCCAAAGAGGGCCGGACCACCTGCGGGCATCAATGACCCTTAATGTAATGAGATCCCACTTGGGCAGCCCCGAGACAGGTGCCGCTGACCACCCACTGAACACCTCTAACTGGGACTATGCATGCATGCCTCTCTTCCTCTTCTGTTTTGTTGGGTTTTTGTTGTTGTTTTGCTAGTCCTGGGGCTTGAACTCAGGGCCTGAGCTTTTTTTGCTCAAGGCTAACACTCTACCCCTTGAGCCACAGCGCTGCTTCCAGCTTTTTCTGTGTATATGGTCCTGAGGAATCAAACCCAGGGCTTTGTGCATGCTAGGCAAGCACTCTACGCTAAACCACATTCCTAACACCTCAAACTACACAAAGATCTTGGGCAAGAGAAGAGAGGCTGGGGCTGGGAAGGTGGCTCAGTGGTAGAGCGCTTGCCTTGCATGCCTGAGGCCCTGGGTTCGATTCCTCAGCACCACATACGCAAAAAGAAAAAAAGCCGGAAGTGGCGCTGTGGCTCAAGTGGTAGAGCGCTAGCCTTGAGCTGAAGAGCTGAGGGACAGCGCCCAGGCCCAGAGTTCAGGCCCCACGACCCGACCCCCCCCCCCCCAAAAAAAAGAAAAGACAGGCATGTGGGGCTGGGAATGTGGCTTAATGGTAGAGTGCTCGCCTTGCATGCACGAAGGCTTGGGTTCGATTCCTCAGTACCACATACACAGAAAAAGCTGGAAGTGGTGCTGTGGCTCAAGGGGTAGAGTGTTAGCCTTGAGCAAAAGAAGCTCAGGAACAGTGTCCAGGCCCTGAGTTCAAGCCCTAGGACTGGCAAAAAAATAAGCAAAAACCTACAGGTTGGGTCTACACCCTGAACATGGCTACAGAGGTGCTGAAGCAGTCTTCCCTTGGCTGCCATGGAACAAATCTCTTTTCTCTGCCCTTCACCCATCTCTTAATTTGGCTTAAAAAGTGAGGAGCTGGACCTAACATCATGGAACTCCTAGAGTCTGGGCCTGGGTTCTACAACTCTGGGTGTGCGTGTATGTGTATGTGTTTATATGTGTGTACATGCACTGGCCTTGGGGCTTAAACTTAGGGCCTGTTTTACAGCTTTTGTACTCAAGGCTGGTCCTCTACCTCTTGAGCTCCACTTCTGGCTTTTTGCTGATTAATTGGAAATAAAGAGTCTCATGGACAATTTGGGCCAGATAGCTGGGCTCAAAGATCTCTACCATGGGCTGAGAAGTTGGCTCAGTGGTAGAGTGCTTGTCTCGCATGCATGAGGCCCTGGGTTTGATTCCTCAGCACCACATAAGCAGAAAAAGCCGGAAGTGGCGCTGTGGCTCAAGTGATAGAGCACTAGCCTTGAGCTAAAGAGCTGAGGAACAGCGCCCAGGCCCAGAGTTCAAGCCCCACGACTAGACCCAAAAAAAAAAAAAAAAGATCTCTACCAGCACCAGCCAGAATTCTCTGAATCTGCCCATAGCCATGAATGCTGCTCCCTCCCCCAGCAGCTCTGACACTCCTAACAGAGACAAGGAAGTCCTTTCTAGGAGCTCCTCCAAGTTTCTCCTGAGTCCTTGGCGTTCTTGTCCTGCAGGGAGGCGGGAGACAGTGTGCAGTGCTGGGGGCGGGGAGAGGTGAAGGCAGGCTTTTCAAGGCACCTACCAGCGTTGGGGGAAGGACTGCAAGAGTCATGCCCTAGACCAGAGGAACCCAGGGCCTCTCTCCAACTTCCGTTCCCCTTCTTGGGGGGCCTGTAGTGGGGCTTGAACTCAGGGCCGAGGTGCTGTTAGCTTTTCATTTAAGGCTAATGTTCTACCACCTGAATTACATTTCACTTCTGGCTTTTCCCTGGTTGATCTAAGAGTCTCTCACATTTGTCTGCCTAGGCTGGCTTTGAACTTAGATCCTCAGATCTCAGCCTCCAGAGCAGCTAGGATTACAGGCCTGAGTCTCTGGCACCCAGCTTCCTCCTCAAGTCTAATCTTCCAACAAGCAGAGGTTCCAGAGGGGAAATAACCAGCCCGGAGGCGCCAAGCTCTGGTTGCTCCTGCTCTGCCCGGTTTCCCTCCATACTTCTCAGATTCCTAAAGATGTTTTAGCACCTACTGCCTCCTCTGCCTAGCTTGGGGAGAAAATTTCTCCTATTTCTGGGTCCGCTTCTCTGCTCAGACACTTCAGGCCCCCTTTCCTCCCACTGGCCATTAGTCTACAGCACTTTTCTTTTGTGCCAATCCTGGGGCTTGATCTAAGGTCTGGGGAGCTGTCCCTGAGCTTCTTTTGCTCAAGTATAGCACTCTACCACTTGAGCCACAGCTCTACTTCTAGTTTTTTTTTTCTTTCTTTCCTTGAGTAGTTTATTGGGGATGAGAGTCCTATGGACTTTCCTGTCCAGGCTGGCTTTGAACCATGATCCTCAGATCTCAGCCTCCTGAGAAGCTAGGAGTACTGGTGTGAGCCGCCGGCACCCAGTTTCTGCAACACCTTAACCTTACTGGACGCGTGAGGCACCCCACAGCTCACTGCTGGTTGTGGCCTTTCACTCCTCCATCCTCTGCTCCTGGCACAGACTTGTACTTAAGAACTATTTGCAGGTCTGGGAATGTGGCTTAGTGGTAGAGTGCTCACCTAGCATGCATGAAGCCCTGGGTTTGATTCCTTAGCACCACATACACAGAAAAAGCCAGAAGTGGCGCTGTGGCTCAAGTGGTGCTATACTTGATTCAGGGACAGCGCCCCAGACCTTAGATCAAGCCCCAAGATTGGCTCAAAAGAAGCTCAGGGGCAGTTCATGCCCTGGTCTGCGGGGTCGGTCAACTAGGGCTCGAAGAGGAACTCACCTGAATGAGACAAACCAGACACCAAGAAGGAGACCAAGACAGAGTTCTGATCAAGGTCTGTTTATTGAACTTACAAGTAGGCTTATATACTATAAATGAAAAAGGAGGTAGTTGCAACATATTGGTAAGTTTTTTTTACAAAAAAACAGGATGCAGGTGGGTGGGGTTAAGTAAAAGATCAGAAGCTATCTTTACGATAAATCGGTATGTTATGAGCTGACAATTAATTGGCTTTGTGAATAAACAATAACTCTAGCAAACAATAGCTTTAGGAAAAGTTTTAAGGTGGTCTCCAGGCAAGTCCCCCTTCTTTTATGTACTTAAAAGGTTGAGCAGAGAAGGGTCCTAAAAACAAATTGAGGCATTAATCTGAGAGGGGAGACAGAGGCACTGACCCTTCTGAGCAAAGGATGGGTGTATGGTGGGATGTATGGTAAGGGGAACGATCCTGTGGGGAGAATCGCGTCCCAGACCTTTTTTGAAGGAGGGGATATTGAGCGACACTTAACCCCTATGCTATGGGGCGTATCTCTCGAGGGGTCCTGTGTGCTGGCTTTGCTAGCCCCTCTGCACTGGTTGTGCACCTCTTAAGCAGATGCCTTCACCCCAAGGGTGCACACCATACAGGACTGCGGCGCAGTTCTCGAAGGAGACCCTCTCTCAAGGGGCTCATCTAGGCCTTGGTCTGCAAGGTCTAGCCGTGGTAATGAACCTATGTAGGTTTTGATGCTAGGGAATCAATTTGTTGCCGAATAAAACCAGTAAGCTTATTAAAGGCCCGTGGGCCAAAAGCCAACAAAATTAGGATGCCAACAAAAGGTCTGAGTAGGGATGGGAGTAAAGTCATGAACCAAGGGGAGGTGGAAAACCAGTTTTTGTACCAGCTTTCCTCTTGTTCTCTGCTTTTTTCTCTTCTCTAACCCTTCCCTAACTTTGGCCATGCTGTCTCTAACGACCCCTGTGCGGTCAGTGTAGAAACAGCATTCTTCCTTTAAAGCAGCGCATAGCCCCCCCGTTGTAAAAACAGGAGGTCTAGTCCTCCTCTATTTTGGAGCACTACTTCTGACAAAGAGGCTAGTGAGCTTTCTAAGACAGATACTCCTTTTTCTAAGTTTTGTATGTCCTCATCTATCGTAGACCGGAGTTCAGAGTAATGTTGATTAGAGAGGTCGAGGGAGGCTACTCGGGTTCTGCTCCAGCGATGCCTAATCCCAGTAAGACAGCAAGGGTTACAGCAGTAGCAGGTTCTCTTTTCCGTCCAGGTAAGGCTCTTATGTCGGTCTCCCAAAGTCCTGTAAATTGATCTTGAGAATATTAAGTTAACCATGGCACAACTTGTACCATGATGCAGAATATGGGTTCTGGTAAAATTAAAGAGATATACAGGGCTGGGAAGGTGGCTCAGTGGTAGAGCGCTTGCCTTGCATGCTCAAGGCCCTGGGTTCGATTCCTCAGCACCACATAAGAAAAAAGCCGGAAGTGGCGCTGAAGAGCTGAGGGATAGCGCCCAGGCTCAGAGTTCAGGTCCCACGACTGGACCCCCCCTCCCCCCAAAAAAAAGATATACACACAGGAGGTAAGGCCATGGCTACAGGTCCACCATGTATCATTTGAGGGGAGTAGATATTTATGAGTCAAAGTAAAAGAATAGGTCTGATTACATAAAAGTTTATATTCTGGGGGGATAAGACTGCCATTACTGAAAATGCAAAGTCCAAGTCCCGTAACTTGGGCTATTGTCACTTTGTTGAAAGGTTGTTGGGTCCAGTGACATTGGGCGGGGTCGTCAACTTCATAAATGTGGCCAAGTACAGCTATACCCTCATAGAATGGAGGGGAGGAAGGATAGCAGAGCCAGCAAGGTTCTACTAATTGTGGATTGCTATTGCTAATGGTAAGAAAGGTTTGATTAATAAGGGATAAAATAAGGTTTTTGGTGTTAGGAGGTTTAAAAAAGGAGTCAGGCCTGTCTATAATAGAGGGAGCTGAAGGTTTGGGTTCAGGTTTTAGGGTTGGTTCTTTTTTGGGCAGTGGGATGAGCGCATTGGGTCCTACAGGTACCGGTTTTGAATAATTTGGGGGTGTTTTTTTGTTAGTTTGATGGTAAACACAACACCCGTATCTGAACCGGCTTGATAGAGTGGTAGTCCCCAGGTAAAGCTCTGTTCCCACCAGCTGTCAGTTTTCCTGCAGTGGTGAATTGAATCTTAAGCGGTGACACCAGCCTTTGGTGTAGGGTTCCTGTTGCTCACATTCAGGAACAATAACCCCAATTGATTGGGGGGGTGAGTATAATTTGCCTTAACTGTTATATAATCCCACTTGGAGGAAAGATTCCAATATGTGGTTTCACAGCCCCAGGCTTTACAGTGAAGATCTCCTTGGCTCCCACATTTGTGGTGATCTTCTCTACATTTATGGTAAACAGGACAAACATAAGAGGAAGGGAAGCTTCATCGAGAGCGTCGCCCTGCATGGGAACCCCCCACAGTAACTTCTCCCAGAGGGTTTTTAATGTTGGGTACATACTCTTGGGGCGGCAGGGTGCTCTCCACTCCCCAGGGTGCCTCTGAAAATCATTTGAGGTTTGTAAATGGGCTGTTCTAAGTTGAATTTTTTGTGAAAAATCCTTTTATAAAAAAGCTCAAAGCCCAGAAACGTATAGGGAGGAGCCAGCTGGATCTTATCTGGTGTAATTTGAAGGCCAGTGTCACTAAGGCCTTTAGAAAGTCTTTGGGAGCAGTAAAGAAGCTGATCAGGGTCAGGGCCCACTAAAAGTAAATCATCCATATAGTGAATTAAATATATGGAGGGCCATTATTGCCTAAATGGATCCACCACCTGGGCTACAAACTTTTGGTACAATGTGGGACTATTTGCCATGCCCTGGGGTAAAACCTTCCACTGAAATCTTGGCATACATAGGGCCTTTAAAATTAATTACTGGTAAACTAAATGTAAAATGTTCACGGTCCTCAGGGCGTAAAGGAATAGTAAAAAAGCAATCCTTTAAATCAATAACAATCTTATGGTATCCCGTGGGAATAGCCACGGGTGTGGGAAGGCCGGGTTGAAGGGCTCCCATGGGCACCATGGCCTTATTTACTTCTCTAAGATCCTGAAGTAATCTCCATTTTCCGGATTTCTTTTTAATTACAAAAATGGGAGTGTTCCACAGAGATGTGGTGGGTTCAATGTGGCCTGCGGCAAGCTGTTCCTGGACCAGCATAGTAGCTGTAGCCAGTTTTTCAAAGGATAAGGGCCATTGATCAACCCATACAGGCTCAGTCCTTTTCCAGGATATTTTGTCTGCATGGAGTACAGGCATGTCAGTGGCCCCTAGGATAAATTTTTATAGCTCACACCGAAACGATTGGTTTTTTCCTCCACCTGAATGGTTTTTTTAGGCCTTGAGAATGTTTTCCTAGGCCTTGTCCAGGGCGAAAGCCCTGGTTAAGCATCTGTTGAGTAACCAATTCATTGGACTACACATTATAAGCTTCATTTGGGATAAAATATCACGTCCCCACAAGTTATCCGGGAGAGTCTCAACCACATATGGCTGGACGGTGCCCTTATTTTTTTCTTCATCTTCCCAGGTTAAAATTTTGGAGCTCTGTAATGGGTTAGAGGTTTGTCCAATGCCTTTAAGGTGAGTCATAGAAGGGGTAAGGGGCCAGGACGGGGACCAGTCTCTTTTAGAAATAATTGTAGCATCAGCACCCGTATCCATAAAGGCCTTCAAATATTTTTCCATCCAATTTTAGCTTAAGGAGAGGCCAGTCCTGAGTAATCTCCTGAACCCAGTAAGCATCTAAAGACCCAAAGCCTCTGGATCCTCTCTTTTGTGTAAGGCTAGGGTTTGTCTCATCAAGGGGAATCAATATTAATTGAGCAATTCTTTGTCCAGGAAAAACTGTGACTGGCCCCTGAGAAGCAGTGGCCAGTAACTCAATCTCTCCCTCATAGTCATTGTCAATAACCCCAGGGGAAATACTAAGGCCCTGAAAAACAGCACTACCACGCCCCAGAATGAGACCAAAGGTGTTTGGGGGCGGTGGGCCAAATACTCCTGTGGAAAGAATCTGATTTTCTAACTCGGGGGTCAATATTTTGTGGGAGGAGGCAGAGATCCAATCCTGCGCTTCCTCCGGTTGCCCGTTCGAGGGCGCTGATGGTGCTTGAGGGGTCACTTGGGGGACGAACCTTGACAGCCCCATGGTTCTGTCCTGTTTGGTTTTTTTTTTCCCCGTTTGGGTGGTAGAGGATTGCCCTGGATATCAGTTTTAGAGCGACATTCAGAGGCCCAATGTTTTCCCCGTTTGCACCTTGGGCATAGGGACGGAGGGGGTGGTTTTTCAGTCTTGAGGGCAGTACAGACCTTTGAAAAATGGCCAGGCTGTTTACAATTAAAGCAGGTTTTAGGTTTTTGGCTCTGAGTAAAATCCTTAAGGGCAGCACCTATGGCCAGGCCGATCTTACGCAAGGCGGGGTCAACATCAGAGCAAAGTCTGATAAAGTCAGTAATGGCTTTGTCACAGCAGTGGCTGTGGCGGTGGGGGTGTAAAGCCGCTTGGCTAGCAGAATTGGCATTTTCAAAAGCAAGATGTTTGATAAGCTCACTATCTGTTTCTTCCTTTCCCATAAGGCGCTCGGCAGCCTCTGTAAGGCATCCAATGAACTCGCTGTAAGATTCATGGGGTCCCTGTCGAACTTTGGCCAAAGAGGTAACGGCGGACCCTTGAGAAGGGAGGCTTTTCCAGGCCTTAAGGGCAGCGTGTTGAATCTGAACAAGCAATCCTGAGGGAAATTTAGCCTGTTTTTCATTGGTATCAAATGGCTTGTTGCCCATCAATTTTTCTATGGTCCAGGACTTAGAGTGACCACCAACAGATGTGTTACGGCGAGCTATATCCTGGCATCTTTCGCCATAATCAGCCTTCCATAAAAGAAAATCGCCTCGTGTTAAGGTAGCCTCGGTTAGCATGGCCCAGTCATTTACTGTAAGCCAGTCCTCGCTCAATGATTCCAAAAGAGAAATGGTAAAAGGAGCGGTAGGACCGTACAAGGAAACAGCACTTTTTAATTCTTTAATATGTGTAAATTTAAGGCGATGGTATTTTTGAGCTCTAATAACCATGCGCTCTCCTCCTTCCTCCTCCCCATTTGAGTCATCAGACTTGGGCCCTCCCTCCTGCTCTTCCTCTCTGTCCTCCGCCTCAGTCTCTTGATCATCAGATTCTCCTTCTAGATTTTCCGAAGTGGCTCTAATTTGAGACCGAGTGACTAGAAAAGCATGAAGGATCTTTTCCTTTTTTGTCATTAATTTTTGTAAGTTTGGGTTCCTAATTTCTAGGTCCAATTTAAATAGTTGTAATAGTTGGGCCTTTTCCTTCTTGGCCTGAAGTAGGGCCCTTAAGGACTGGGCTTCCCGGGAGAGCTTAACTGTGGCTTGTCTGGTGACCTCCTCAAGGTCTGTTGAAGAGGCCAAGGCAGGGGCACAGAAGGGAGGGGCTATTTTATAGGGAGGAGGTCGTGTGCCCAAGAGGTTTAGAGGGGGCCAATCTGAGGTGTGGTATTTAGCAGCCTCCTCTTCCAAAGTGGCCTGGTCCTCCGGGGGAAGGATATCATCATTGGGCCTTTGGGATCTGAGGTTAGAAAGAACCGGGTATATAGATTTTGGTTTTTGTAATTGTGTGTCGCTGTTAGCATCAGGCATCGGTATGGAAACCGAGGGACAATGGGACACGACTGAGGGGGGACAGAAGAGGGGTCTTTGGGCAAGGGAGGCCTGACTCCCCGCAAATTTATGTTTTAAAAATTCTTCACCTTCCTTAACCACTCTAGACACATCTTTGTGTTGGTGGCGAACTTGGAGGATCTCATTTATGAGGTTCCAATACGAAAAAGCCTGAACAGGAATCTTTTCGGGGCCAAAAGTTTCATAATAATCCTTAAGACAGTCTCCAACACGACCCCACCTTCTTTCATCTATAGTACCCCCCCCCTGAAGAAACCAAGGGCAAATATCCTCCAGGAGCATAAAAAACTGAGTTAAATCTTTTTTCTTAACCTGTGTTCCTCGTGCCTTGAGTGAGGCTTTTAGGCCTTGAACAAAAAGTTCATGCTTACTAAGTGTTTGTCCCATAATTGTGTCGCCTCCCTTACCTTACGGATCTGTATTGCAGTCAAGCATTTCTGCGGTAATCACAATGCGGATCTTCACTCACCGGCTGGGTGGCGATCTAAGAAGAGAGCGGCCGCTCAATCGGGCGACTTTCAGACCAGAATCCGTGCTTCGAGCCCCACGTTGGGTGCCATCTGCCTCAGCCCGCGGGTCCGTCAACTAGGGCTCAAAGAGGAACTGACCTGAATGAGAGACAAACCAGACACAAGGAAGGAGACCAAGGTCTGTTTATTGAACTTACAAGTAGGCTTATATACTATAAATGAAAGAGGAAGTGGTTGCAAGGTATTGGTAACAGTTTTATACAAAAAACAGGATGCAGGTGGGTGGGGTAAGTAAAAGATCAGTAACTATCTTCACTGATAAATCTAAGCCACAGGGAGGTCTGTTACAAAAATTCCTTAAATACCTTATGAGCTGACAATTGGCTTTGTGGTTAAGCAATAACTCTAGCAAACAATAGCTTTAGGAAAAGTTTTACAATGGTCTCCTGGCAGTTCAAGTCCCAATACCAGTCCTTAAATAAAAAAAAAAATTCTTTCCCTGCTGGGCCCTGGTGGCTCAGCCTATAATCCTAGCTACTGAGGAGGCTGAGATCTGAGGATCACGGTTCAAAGCCAGCCCGGGCAGGAAAGTCCATGAAACTCTTCACTTCAATAAAGCACAAGAAAGGGCTGGGAAGGTGGCTCAGTGGTAGAGCGCTTGCCCTGCATGCCTGAGACCCTGGGTTTGATTCCTCAGCACCATATAAGCAAAAAGAAAAAAAGCCGGAAGTGGCACTGTGGCTCAAGTGGTAGAGCGCTAGCCTTGAGCTGAGGGACAGTGCTCTGGCCCAGAGTTCAGGCCCCTCGACTGGACCCCCCCCCCAAAAATAAAATAAACCACAAGAAAAACCAGAAGTGGTGCTGTGGCTCAAGCGGTAGAGCTCTCGCCTTGGGCTTTAGAGCGCAGGAACAGTGCCCAAGCCCAGAGTTCAAGCCCCATGACCGGCAAAAAAAAAAAAAGAACTCTTTCCATTTTATGCCCAGCATGGCTCAGCTCCTGCTTCTCACTCAGGGACTCTGATGGAGGGTGACATACAAGCCCTCCCCATCTCTGCTGATTCCACCGTGTTACATAAAGGCATTCATTGATTCCATGCACACGTATATGGGAAGAAGCTTTCTCAGTTCTCCTAGGGCTCCTGGCTAGGTCTGAAATAAAACTGACAGCTATGTATAATGAGGAGAAAAGTGTAACTAATGCAGTTAATCAGCATTTTGTATGATGAGCCTTTAGAAGGACAGCCCAATGACCCACCCAAGGGAGCTATCATTTTTACACTTCTTTTAGTGCACAGAGAAAAAAAAGAAAAAAAAACAGTACTTAGAAGTTAACTTCCAGTGGGAGACAAGCTTGTCATCTTGGCTCCATCCATCTTGACTGTCTTTGTTCTGAGCCATTCATCCTGCTACCATCTTGGCATCAGGAAGGATAGGGCTGATTAATAACATCTTTCTAACAAACTGAAACTACTCCCAAGGAAAAGATCGGTAGGACAGGCCACCCCCCAAATGTGGACAATGACCTGTAGGGAAGAAGTTGCACTTGGAGCTTCCCCACAGCAGTGACACTGATGACTAGGACTGTTTAATTACACATATACTGTTCTGTTTCATCTAAGGCTGCCAGGTGGAAATGGTTCACACCTCTAATCTGAGCTACTCAGGAGGTGAGATCTGAGGATTGTGGTTAGCATCCAGCCTTAGCAGAAGTCTGTGAGACTCCAATTAAACAGAAAAAAGCTGGAAAGTGGAGCTGTGGCTCAAGTAGAGCACCAGCTTCGAGGGATAGTGCCCCGGTTCTCTCCCCTTTATTGCTGCTTGTCTCTCTGGTGAGTTAAGTGAGTGGCTGTACCTAGCATGTGGAACTCCTGGCCCAAGCCTGTGGCCTAGAACTCCAGTGACATGTGGAGAAATGTGAGTGAACAAAAGTGCAATGTACTGGAGAGGCTGAGTGGGGCGCTGAGGGAATCCTGTAACCCTGGCTTTCCATGATGTCTTGAAAAGATTCTGGCTGGTGGGGTGCTGAGGGATCAAGCCTATAATCTCAGTTATTTAGGAGGCTTTGATCTGACGATCTGAAATCTGAAGCTAGCCCAAGCAGGAAAGCCAGTGAGAATCTTATCTCCAATTAACCACCAAAAAGCTAGAAGTGGAGGCTGTAGATCAAGTGCTAGAACACGTGCCTTGAGCACAAATGCTAAGAGAAAGCATCCACACGCTGAGTTCAAGCCCCAGGGCAGGAAACAAAAAGATTCTGCCTGGGAGTTGAGGCCTGAAATCCCAACACTTGGTTAGGAGGCTGAAGCCGGAGGCTCCTGAGTTTAAGGCCAGCCTGGGCTCCATACCAAGACCTGCCTCACCTTACCCCCAAAAAAAGCCTGAGTATGGATCCCTCCCTAAACCAACGCAGTAAATGCAGTTTGCGATTTCAGTAATAATTCAGTAACAAAGAAACAAAACCACGGAGTACGTGTTCGGGCTTTTCCTGAGACACACCGAACATGCGTTATCACTTTTTTGCATAATTTTTTTCTTTTCTTTTTTGGGTCCGGTCGTCGGGCCTCAACTCGGGGCCTGGGCGCTGTCCCTCAGCTCTTCAGCCCAAGGCTAGCGCTCATACCACTTTTTCTGCATCATTTTAATGGTTGAGTTTAGGGAGGAAAAAACTGACCCAGATGAGGTCACTGCGGTTTTTCAAGGTCACCCCCCCCCCCCCCCCCCCCGAGACCGGACCAGTAGAACCGGATTCCTGGGTCTCAGGTTTTAACCCGTTGCGGTGCGGGGTTCCGGCGGGCGCTCCACGGCGATTCCCCGGTCGGCCATTGGCGCCCGCGGAGAGCGTGGCCCCCGGGCGACCCGGCCGGACGGGACGGGGGAGGAACCCGAGGGTCCAGGCCACCTCCGGGCCGTCGCTGTGCCCTCACCGGCTGCAGCCAGTGCCCTCACTGGTCCCCGCCAGTGTTTTCTGCGCTCCACGGTCTCTAAGACAAGAGTCCGCCCTCGTCCCCAGCCTGCGGCTCCGGGAAGCCCCAAGCTAAAGCTTGGGCGGGGGGCCTGTGTGCGGTGGCCGAACTCCAGGCCTCGGCAGGCGCGCGACCTGCGGGATCGCCAGTTCAAGCTCAGCTCCGGAGCCGCCCCCCGCCCCGGCTTCCCCGAGGGCCATCGCCTGGCACCGGGGCGACTCGGAATCCGGGACTCTCAGCCAATCTAACCGAACGAGAAGACCCGGGAGGGGCACCGACCACACCCCAGGCAGGAAGGACCCGTGCGGGGCGGGACCCCCCCCACGCACACCCCAGCCGGGGCAGGACCCCTGCGGGGCGGGACCCCCCCACGCACACGCCAGCCGGGGAAGGACCCGTGCGGGGCGGGACCCCCCCGTGCGGGGCGGGACCCCCCCACGCACACCCCAGCCGGGCAAAGAGTCCTGCGGGGCGGGACCCCCCCACGCACACCCCAGCCGGGGCAGGACTCCTGCGGGGCGGGACCCCCCCACGCACACCCCAGCCCGGGCAGGACTCCTGCGGGGCGGGGGACCCCCACGCACACCCCAGCCGGGCAAAGAGTCCTGCGGGGCGGGACCCCCCCCCCACGCACACCCCAGCCGGGGAAGGACCCCTGCGGGGCGGGGGACCCCCCCCGCACACGCCAGCCGGGGAAGGACACACCCCCCGGCGTGGCTGCCTCCCTCGGCGGAGCCCACTCCGGGCTGGCGGGACGGGACGCGGTGCGGGGTTCAGGTTCTGCACCCGCGCGCTCGCGCTCGGGCTCCCGGGTCGGTTGTGACGCCGGACCAGAGAATACAAAGTGCTTAGAAGCCGGGCGCCGGCGGCTCACGCCCGTCAGCCCAGCCACGCAGGAGGCTGAGACCTGAGGGTCGCGGTTCGAAGCCAGGCCGTGAGACTCGGATCTCCCGTTAACTATCGGCCGGAGCGGCGCTGCGGGAGAGCGCTAGCCCCGAGCAAGGAGGGCAGGGACAGCGCCGAGCCCCGGAGTCTACCCCGGGGCACGCACACGCACACGCACGTGCTCAGAACAACGCGGGGACCCCGCCGGACGCAAACCCGGGTCTCATTCAGCTTCACCATTTTCCTAACGCCCTTCTAAGGCCCGCCCTCCTTCCCTCCCTCCCTCCTTCTGTGGCCGAGCGGAAGTCCCGGCCACGGCTCCGGAAGTGACGTCACGCCCCCTCAGAAACATGGCCCCGGAGAGCTCTTCCGGAAGCGGTCACTGGTATCTCCGTGACGCCGCCCGAGTTAGAGCGTCCCGCAGGGTTTCCATGGTGCTGCCCTCAGCCCCGAGTCTCACCGCTTCCTCTCCCGCTTGAGCGCCGGGAGCGGCGAGGGCGGAGGCGCCTCCCTCCCGCGTCGTGGCCGCCGCCCCGGGGAGGGGCCGGAGAGCGGGTGACGCTCTGGGCCGCCCGCGTCTCTATGGTGCCGCGCGCCCCCGCGCGCCGCTCCCGCTCCCGCGCGCCGCGGCCGACGCTGCCCCTTTAAGCGGCGGAGGGCGGCGCCGCGGAGGTCCCGCGAGAGCGGCGGGGGCCGGGGGGCGGCGCCGAGCCGGGGGGCCAGAGGCGGATGGAGCCAGCGATGGAGCCCGAGACACTGGAGGCGCGAATCAGTGAGTGTCCGGGAGGGGCGCGGGCCGGACCGGAACCGGAACCGGGGGCGCGAGGCCTCCTTCCCGGCGGGGGCGGGGTACGCGGCGCCCCCTCCTCACGCCCCGCCCCCGGCCCAGGAGGGGCGGCGCCCCATCCGACCCCGGCGCGGGGGACCACCCCACCGGGTGGCGGGTCCTCCCCCGGGCCCCGCCGCCCGATTCCGGGCCCGCGACCCCGGCCGGGGGTGCACCGCCCTCTGAACCGCTGGGGCAGAGCGCGACCCCCCTCTCAGGCCCAGACTCTCCACCGACAGCGGACCCCCCCCAGGTCCTTTTACCCTGGGTCCGCGGAAGGAGCCCGCGAGCGGCCCCCGCGCGGCACCTGGACTGGGGGAAAAGGACGAAAGGACCCTGCTTGGCCGACTTCTCGACCCGAATCCTGCCTGTCCCATCCTGAGCCTGCAACTGCTCCCTAAGATTGCCTCACTCCCCCGTCCCGGAGGAGAGGACCCGGGCCTGTTAGATCGCTTCCCTTCTGCCCCCAAACTCTGACCCACGCCATGAGAAACTCCTAAACCCTCGGCTTGGGAGGGTCCTGTCTCAGACTCCGCGAGTAACAACTCCCAAGTTTACAGCTCAGTCCTACTCGGCTGGATTCCTTTCCCAGCTCTTGCTGAGCTTCCTGCAAAGGCCTCTGCACCTTTTCCTGTCTTTACAGACAGATTTCCTTCTCCCCAGGCTCTGGGCCCCCAGACCTTTCCTTCCTCCACCCATACTCTCTATCCCCCAGTAAGAAGAGGATCCTCAGTTCTCCTCAGTTCTTTGGTTTGTTTTGGTCGTGGGGTTCGAACTCAGGACCGGGGCACTGTCCCTGAGCTTCTTTTGCTCCAGGCTCGTGCTCTACCTCTTGAGCCACACATTTTATGTGGTACTGAGGAATCAAACCTGGGGCTTCATGCATGCTAGGCGAGAGCACTCTACCACTGAGCTGGATTCCCAGCCCCTCGCCTCAGTTCTTGAAGTCCCACTCCTGGATTCTTCCCCTGAATATTTGATCTGCCTCTCCAGGTCTAGTGACAGGTCTTTCCTGGTCACACCGCTTTCAGATCCTCGGAGAAGAAGCCACTTGTTCTTTGTGGCAGGGATCTATGCAGGGTGAATTGGGGTCATGGCCAGAACCTTTAAACAGAGTTGAATGCTGAGGGTGGCTCTGGAATCACACCATTGTCAGGGATGTCTGAGTCAGACTGGCCAGTGAGTGGGTTCCAGAGGCCACAAGTGTCCAGGTCATGGGCAGCTTGGGGGATGGGAGGGGCCCTAGCTGACAGATCTAGGAGGTACTTCAAGGTTTATGCTGGTTCTAGGGGCTACAGAATAGTCTCAAGTAGGGCCTAGATGGGGAGCTCAGTGGTAGAGCACTTGCCTGGCTTGCAAAGGCCCTGGGTTCCCATCCTAGCAGTGGGGGCAGGGACAATCTCCAGTATAGCAACATTGGGTACATTCAGAGAGACCAAAGAGCCCAGAAACTGGCTGGAGCTGGAGACACCTGGATTTGGCCGGATCCTTTACCTAGCAGAGGGCACCAAGATGAGGTTCAAAGATGGAGGTCAGGGTGTAAAGGGTCACTTCTGGCAAGGACAGTGATGGCATTGCCACTACTATTGAGAAACACCTCCCGCCCTGCTTCCCTAAGTGCTCTGCTCCCCCCAGGTGGAATTGAAGGGGACGGGAGCAGGGAGGTCTGAGTTGACCCCTGCTTTAAACCTTAAATCCGGTACATCTCTCCAGACCAGTGGTTCCTCCTCACTAGTTGCTGATGTAAACCTTTTCCACAAACTACTTCCCCACCCTCAGCCTCCCAAGTCTTTGATGCTTTAAGGGACTTCCTGTTTTGGGTTCCTTCTATCCAGGGTTTCATGCAGCTAACAGCCTTCCACCCCCTTCCTTATCTCCCATTGTATTTTGGTAGTACTTGGTTTGAAACTGTGTCTTGTGCTTTCTGGGCAGGCCCTATACCATGTGAGCCACGCCCCTAGCCCTTTTTGCTTTTTCCAATAGTGTCACATTTATGCCTGGGTCAGCTAGTACCACAATCCTAGTAGTGTTTCCCTTGGCTGCGATGGTGGGGCATACTGCCCCACCCAGTTGAAAAGGAGTCTCGTGAATTTCTTGCTAAGGCTGGCTTAAACCAAGATCCTCCCGATCTCCGCCTCCCAAATAGCTACACAGACTGAGCTCAGTGCTCAGAACTGGGCAGACCTGGCCAGCAACTGGGAAGAGAGGCTGTGGGAGGTGACCATCCAGCCCTGCTCTCCGGTGATAGTAGCAAAGGGAAATTATGTGACCCTGACTGTTGTTTAGCCAACGTTGGGGGCCAGAGGAGTGTCTCCCTTTGTTTACCCCCATACACCCCCCCACCCCCACCCCGCCTCCTGCAGATCTGCCTATCCTTTCCTGGCCACTACCCATTCCTGAAACATCAGGGTTTCCACTTCCTGAAACATCACCCCTACCTGCTCCATGCTGCTCTTGTTTACTCATTCATTCATTCATTCCCCTCTCTCTCACTCTGAGGGAAGATGAGTGGGTGCACAGTGTTTGCAATGCAATGTAATTACAGGCTGGGGCCCAGCAAACCTGAGGGGGGGTATCGTGGGGAGGGAAAGTGACATAGAGCTAAGCCAACACTGCCCCCCTGGGCGGGAGTGGAGGCTGGGAGGATCCCAGGAGGAGTGGAGTGGACTGAGTGTTTGCAAACCCCTTTGCTCTGCCTGTGCTCATTATCTGTATCTTCTCTTCTGGGCTTTGCCGAGGCCAGCCCTCCCAGTCAGGCCTACTCCCTTCTGTCCCTGCTGGAAGGGTGCCTCTTCCCTGCAGCCAGCCTACCCAGGCCACCCTGAGTCCCCTCCTCTGGGTCCCTGACGTGCCTTACCTGCCTCTGCCAACTTTATTGAGATCTGGCTGCCCTTGGCCCACGGCCAGCCACACAGCTCCTTAAGGAGCTTCTTATTACCTCCTCTGGACCTCTGCGCAGATTCCTTGAGATCACAGGGACACTTTCCTCAGGAGGTAAAGTGGGCGTGGCCAGTGTACAACTGCAGCAAGGGGAGGGGAAAGGGGGGGTCCCTGGGTGGGACCCTGAGGGGAAAGCTCAGCCATGTGCTCTTCATCCATGAAGCATCAGCTTTTCAGCTCCATGTTGCCAGACAGGAAATGACTGATAGGACACCTTCCTCATGCTCAGTCACATCCCATTCCCCCCCCCCCCACTCCCCGCCAAACCGGTTGCTGGAGTGGGGGTGGGAGAAACCAGGGTCCCTCTTACAGGCTAGACTGAGACCTCTTTTCTGCCCACAGACAGAGCCACGAACCCCCTGAACAAGGAGCTGAACTGGGCCAGCATCAACGGCTTCTGCGAGCAGCTCAGCGAGGACCTGGAAGGGTAGGGGCTCTGCTGACACACTCGACGTGTGGAGTCCCTCCAGAGCCTGGCCTTGGGCTCAAAGACCCAGTTCCCATCCCAAATGCTTTCACACTTAGCTAGGATAGTGGGGCCCTTCCCTGAGGAGAACCCATTTACCTGGCAAGAAACTTGAGGCTCAGGAAACTCAGCAGCTGGTCCCAAGAGCTCTCAGAGAGGTGGTAGCAGTTCTGAGCTGGACACTTGGACTGGACCATCCCCCAGCCGGTAGTTTGTTGGGGACCTTCCCAAGAAGAACTGCATCCTTTCCAGCAGGCCCTTTGCACAGGAAGAAGAGAACCAACTGTGGGAGAGCCACCCCCACCCGAGTGCTTATCCACAGCTCTCAGCCTGGACTGCACAGAAGGCCCAGGAGCCCATTTTTAGTGGGGACTGAGGTTTGGGGCTACAGCTCTATGGACTTTGTGTCCACCCCATTCCTCCTGCGGGCAGCCCAAGGGCAGAAACTGCTGGCCTCTGCACCTACTGCTTCAGCTGTGAAGCCAATTTAGGGGTGCTGCCCTCCAGGGAGGTTCCAGGGGTCTCCTGTCCCCACTTAGAGAGGTTGGGCATGGCCAATGTTCGGTACCTGCCATCTGTTTCTACCACTGGTGACAGGTAGAGGGTGTCTCTTCTGGGATTTTCTCCCAGGCCCCAACCATCCAGAGAGGAAGCTGGGCCTTACACATGCCCCCGAGGACTGGCAGAGGGCTGAAGTTCCAGTGAACAAGTGTAGTGGTATGCTGGTGTCCCCTCCCCTCCAGGCGCCTGGGGCTCCATAGCAATCTTGGTTCTGTGTTCCTCCCACCCAGGCCTCCACTTGCTACCCGGCTGTTGGCACACAAGATCCAGTCCCCGCAGGAGTGGGAGGCCGTCCAGGCCCTGACGGTGAGGAGGGGAGAGGGCGCTGTCTCAGGCCATGGAAGCAAGCAAGGCCAAGTCTGAGATTCTTGGGGCTTCTATGGTTATTGGGGTTCTGATGGCTCTCTCTAGAGCCCAAGGGAGCTGTGACCAGCTGATCCAGGATGGAGGTCTGGAGCAGTCCTTGAGGGTCCACAGCTTTCCCAGGACTCCTGGGCCTTTGCTGGGGAGAAGCCCCTAATGTCATACTGTAGTGCATGTTGCCAGGAGTCCCTGTCTGATGCTCCCTGGTGTATTGCACGAGCCACCAGCTCCCATCCTAGGCAGCACTGCACTTCCCACAGGGTCCTGGGGAATGTTTAGCTCAGCCTGCAGGCTCATAGCTGTGCTTATAACGGAAGAGGCAGTGTGTGTGGTTCCAGCCACCCTGGAACAGCTGAGCTTTCTCTTTACTGGTAGAGTCTGGGTTTGTGTTTCCCCTCAAGCATTCTTATAGGAGCCTGGTTTCATAGGAATAATTTAGACTGAGGCCCAAATAGATAGTATCTGGTAAAGTTTTAGAAGAGAAGAGGAGTAACAAGAAAGCCGTAGGAGCTGGGAATGTGTTTTCGTGGTAGAGTGCTTGCCTAGCATGCATGAAGCCCTGCGTTCGGTTCCTCAGAATACCACATAAACAAAAAAAAAGCCAGAAATGGTGCTGTGGTTCAAGTGGAAGAGTGCAAGTCTTAAGCAAAAGGAGCTCAGGGATAGTGTCTAGGCTCTGAGTTCAAGCCCCAGGACTAGCCAGAAAAGAAAAAAAAAAAAAAGCCATGGACAAGTGATAGGCTGTGATATGCAGATGCACAGGTGTGGTGCGTGGCGCAGGCTGTGTAGTGGTACAGGGTGAGCTGTCCCCTAACTGTCCCCTAGGAGGCGATGGGGACTCTAAACCTCAGCATTTTATGGCCACAGGGGTCATTCTGTCCCCTGGGTCCTAGACAAGGTATAGAAGGGGGAGTGCCCCTGCCCTCACCCCCCACTTCCCTGCCTAGGTTCTGGAAACATGTATGAAGAACTGTGGCAAGAGGTTCCACGATGAGGTGGGCAAATTCCGCTTCCTGAACGAGCTCATCAAAGTGGTCTCTCCCAAGGTGGGTCGCCCCAGCCCCCGTTTAGCCATCAGGCCCTACACACACAGAGCCTTTCTCCAGGGCCTTTCCCGGCTGAGTTTGGGGCAGTGTGGGCTTCTAGGAAAAGAGCCCCAGGCAGACAGTGGTGGGCAGCAGGGAGTAGTTTAGTGTTCAAGGAGCCCTGATCCTGATCAACAGCAGCCCAACTGGGGTGCTCTGTCTGGAGACTGTCTCCTGCGGAACTGGCTTCAGCACCCCACCTTCTGTCTGGCAGAAGTGTCCTGACCCTGCCTTCTGGGTGTGGCTGGGTATTAGGGCTTTGGCATCTAAACCAGACCCGGAGTGACCAAGCTCACTAGCACATGGCCACATCCCTGCTGCTGGCCTGAGCCTGAGGAGTCCTCCCATGAGCCCTGGGTGAGAGCCCCAATTTTCCCTTCCTTATCGCCTGTCTGACCCTCATTCTCCCAGGAGGTAACTCTGGGGTGTACAAGCTGCTCTTCCCAGCCCAGGCTACTGCTGGAAATAGTTTGAGGGCCTAGGGTCTCCCAGAGTGCCACTGGGGACAGCTTGGAGGAGACCAGGGCCTCAACAGTTATATCCTCCTCTCCTCCCTGTTCATCCTGGCTCCTTGCTGGGTCCCCAAGTTAAGTAGTACCTGGGCTGGCTAGGAACTGGCCATGTGCCAGCTCTGAAAGCCCACCATGGTAGGGAAACTGAGTCACAGAGGGCTGACATGGCCAGTGAGTGGCAGAGCTAGGAGGTGAACTGAACCTATGCCAGGCTGCTCGGGTGGGGATGTGTAACCCTGGAAGCCAGAGGCATCCGTGGCGGGAGGGGGGGGGGGGCGGGGGCGGGGAGGTGGCAGCAGGTTGGGCCTGCAGCAGACAGGGCCAGGCCATTTCAAAAGCATCTCTTCTGTACCTGCAAAGTACCTGGGCTCCCGGACATCAGACAAGGTAAAGAACAAGATCTTAGAACTGCTCTACAGCTGGACCGTTGGCCTGCCTGAGGAGGTGAAGATCGCAGAGGCCTACCAGATGCTTAAGAAGCAGGGTGAGGCCCCAGGGTAGGCCCTGTTGGCTTTGGGGCTCTAGGCCAATGAGACCAGGAGAGAGTGCTTTTGACTTCTCCAGAACATGTGCTGGGAGGAGGGAGACTTCAGTGCTCGTGCTTGAGGCCAACGTGGATAGAGAACAGGTGTGTTTGGGTCAAGCTTCCCCTCAGAGAATGGCCTCAAGATGTAGAAGCCCAACCCTGTCCCCACGCCAATCAGCATGGCAGGTCAGGGATAGACCACAGCCCAGAGCTGTTGTGCTGGGGGACCACTGGCCTCTTCCACTCCCCTTTTTCCCTTTTGCCGGGGACTGACTGTCAGCCTTCCTGACCCTGTCCACCCCAGGGATTGTGAAGTGTGACCCCAAGCTTCCCGAGGATGCTGCCTTTCCCATCCCCCCTCCTCGGCCCAAGAATGTGATCTTCGAAGATGAAGAGAAGTCCAAGGTGAAGTGGGGGAGCAGCTTGTGGCTGGGGCAGGGAGGGGAAGGGGGAGACTAGGCCCATCAGGGCTGGATTCATGGGCAATGGGGACTTCTGGTCCTTGACTGTCCAGTGCACATGGTCACCAGAGGGTGACAGGCACCATGATTAAACACTCAGTGCATTCAGTGTCCCTGCATTTCATCAACCTAGGCGTCGGGCCCAGTGGAGGGGCTTGCACAACTGTGGGCCTCTCCTTAGGAGTTTATAGGTTCTTGTTAAAGAACCATGAGGAGCTCACCCGCCAGGAGAGGTACGATGGAAATAAGAACTGTGACATGGAGAAAGTAGTGAAGCCCCTGCCCAGCACAGCCCAGCCTCCAAGGGTGACCACTGGAAAGACTCAGAAAGCCGTAGTGGCACCAGTGGCTGACGCCTATAATCCTAGCTACTCAGGAGGCTGAGATCTGAGGCTCATCGTGCAAAATCAGCCCAGGCAGGAAAATCATGAGATACTTTTTTCCAATTACCCAGCAAAAAACTGCAAGTGGAATAGTAGAGCACCAGCCTTGGGCGAAAAAGCTAAGAGATAGTGTCCTGGCCCTGAGTTCAAGCATCAGTACCAGCACCAAAAAACCCAGAAAGTGGGACTGAGAAGGTGGCTCAGTGGTAGAGTGCTTGCCTTGCATGCATGAGGCCCTGGGTTCCATTCCTCAGCACCACATAAGCAGAAGAAGCTGGAAGTGGCGCTGTGGTTCAAGTGGTAGAACACTAGCCCTGTGCTGAAGAGCTGAGGGACAACACCCAGGCTTAGAGTTCAGGCCCCATGACTGATTAAAAAAAACCAGAAAGCCATGGTGGTGTGAGGACCAAGCACTCCAATTAAACCTGACTTCACCAGGCTTGGTAGAAGTCCCATCCGTGAAGTGTCATGGTTGTTCGTAGGGCCACCTATCTAAGTATCAGGAAATTCTCACCATTTTATGAGCTTTAACAACTCGTGCCAGTCCCATGGGTGGGAATGGAGCGCTGACCCCTAGCCTGTTGCTGCTCACAGTCACATGCTTGTCTCCACAGATGCTGGCACGCCTGCTGAAGAGCTCCCATCCTGAGGATCTCCGGGCAGCCAACAAGCTCATCAAGGAGATGGTTCAGGAGGTGATGACTGCTCTGGTGCATGGTGCGGGGGGGAGGGCAAAAACAGGAGGCCCTGTACTGACCAGACTGCTCGTGGAAGGTGGCTTCTGTGAGGTTATCTATGGATCAGAATGAATTAGGAACTAGGAATGTAGCTCAGAAGTGGCTGCTTAGCATACACCGGGCCCAGGGTTCAGCACTATCCCAAGAGACAAAGAAGCTGAAGCCTGATTCCTGCCTATGGCTTATGCCTGTAATCCTAGCTTACTCAGGAGACTAAGATCTGAGGATCACAGTTCAGAGCCAACCCAGGCAGGAAACTCCGGGAGACTCTGGTGAGAAAAACTGGAAGTGGCGCTGTGGCTCAAGTGGTAGAGTGCTCACCTTGAGCTGAAGAGCTCAGGGACAGCACCCAGGCCCAGAGTTCAAGCCTCACAACTGATCAAAAAAAAAAAGTACACATGTATGTATATATATATATATACACATGTATGTATATGTATACGCATGTATGTGTATACCTGCATGTGTTTATGAGTGAAGCTGTGGGCCCTCACTGAAACCTGCTTTGCTCAGGCTATCATCAAAGAAAGCTTTCAGATCAGTACTTAATAGCACTGGGGGGGGGGGGGGGGGCGGAGCTGGGAAGGTGGCTCAGTGGTAGGGTTTGATTCCTCAGCACCACATAAGTAGAAAAAGCCAGAAGTGGTGCTGTGGCTCAAGTGATAGAGCTGAGGGACAGTGCCCAGGCCCAGAGATCAGGCCCAGGACTAACAAAAAAAAATAGCACTGATGGGAGGAGCCCCGGTGTCCCCACTTGTTCCCCAG